CCTTCGGGGACATTCTTTCCCCTTTTCAGGGTCCCCTCGGTTGTTTATGATTGCTCTCAGTCACTGTGCACGTGAGGTTCATTGGGGGGAGTTTCCGTATGGAGCAGGGACTGCATTTTTCTTTTGTCTTGGGTCATAAGAGGCCCGGCTAATCTTCATCTGGGAAAATTTTCTGATTACTCTTCCGCGTCGCCTACGCTCTTGTCCACTTGTCTTAGATTTTCTCAGGACCGGCTGTGGTTGCTGAGTCGCTGTTTGAGGTATTTGTTGTGCACTCGTGTTTGGGCTTCCCAGACGTATTTGGACGTGTGGAAGCTTCTGCTTGACTGTACCTCTGGATTTGAGGGTCCCCACTCTTGGCTTTTATTATCTCATTCCCTTCCTGCTTCCATTCCTTGGCTCGTTCTTCGGGCTGCTATTTCGTTGGTCATCCTTCTCCTAAGGTCCCCGTTCTTTCTTCTCTCTTCTTTGAATTCTCCGATTCCTTGGGTCCATCCTTCCTGACCTAACTCCTGTTCGGCTCCTGGAGGGGTCACTGTTTAGGAGTTGCCTTTAGCGTACGTAATCAAATATCCCTCTTGCCTGTGTTAGATGACTTAACCTCTCACCCCCCGGCGCTTGGGTTTGTTCTGATTCTTCAATACCGCCTCAGTTTTTTAGTTGTGCCCCTCACGGATCTTGATGAGACGCTTTCTCACTTCTTCTTCCATTTTCCCTCCCTGGTGTTGCTTCATTCTGCCGTTTTCGGTTGTAGCTTGCTGATTCTTATGCTCCTGCTCCTTTTTTGGATCTTCTGTTGTACTTCTCCTCTGAGACCTTTGGGTCCGTTGTGTCTATGCGACCTGTGGGTTACGGGACGGGCCTTGGGGTTGATCGGTTTCGGGAATTTTAGTCCTTGATAGCTGGGTGGCTGTTAGTTTCCCCCCTCCCACCGGCTCAGATCTGTCCTTGGCTGATTCTGATCCCTTCTGTCACGTTGCGGTTCATCCTTGTGTGTGCGCCGGCTTGGCGTGTTTCTGCTTCCTTTTGTTGCTGCTCAACGGGGTTCCGAGTTGGGGGGGTCCGGGAAATTTGGTCTGATGATTGGGCTGCGTTGACTCTCCACCTTCTCAGTCTTGTGGGCTCCTACGAATTGTCGGGGTATGAGTTGGCCTCCTTAAGTCCCTCTTCACTTTTCCCTGACGGAGAGGTGATGGGATAATCTTGCAGTTTCTCCGCGGGGATATATCCGGCTTTGGGTTGGTTGGTTGGGGGTGTGAGGTTTCGGGATTTGATACGAGGAGTTGTATTCCTTGGTTGTTTTTTTACTGTCTCGTTTCAGTATATATCTGACAGGATTTGGCCGCTTCTGGTGGTTGCTTTGGGGTTTGGATACTTGCAGCCACGTTAATATCCTGCCTCCTTGAGGTTGTGTTACTGGGGTGGTTCCTATTTTATTTGTCGTCTGACTAGAGCTTCTTTCAGTAGATATATCTTTCTTGTGTTACTTCCCTTCTTCTTTTGTGGGGTTTTGGTTGACTTCTTCCGATTTGCTTTTCTCATCGTGGATGTGGTGTTGGTTGTGTTCTTTTTTTCCTCTGATTTTTCTTTGTCGGTGGGGTCCTGTCCGGTTTCCTGTTTTTCTTGTCTGAATTCTGCCACTTGGTCTAGTCCTGGTTTAGTTATTGATCGGCTGGCCATTCTTTTTTTAGATGTTGAATCACTGGGACTTGTTCAGATTGTTGGGTTTTTTTGTTGGGGGAAGCCAGTCATCCTTTCTTGGATCTGAGTTTTAGAGGCGTCGCTGTTCTAATCTCTGAGGACTCAGCTCCTGTCTCTTCCAAGCTTCCGCTTCCAGTTCATAGGATAGGAGGAATTTTATCCCATTTTTTTGGATTTTGGGATTTTTGGTTCCCTCATTACTTAAATTTTTCAGATTCATTGGGTTTGGGGTTGTGGGGAGGTTTATACTTGTTTTTTGACTAAAGTAGGGACTCAATTGTGTTCCCATCCTATATTCTTTAATTCTTCGGTTGAGTAGTCCTTGGGTAAGTTGGAGGTCTTGTCTGTTTTTCTGGGGCGAGTTGACCTCCCTTTTGGGACTTCTGGGGGGTCTCCTATAACTGATTCAGGAAAAACTTCCCTGTAGGAAATTCTTGGGAATTTTTTGGATTCGGGAGATTTTATTGGTTGTATACTGCTATTTATGACTTCTGGAAATTAGCTGAGTACTTGTTTCTTGTGTACTGACTCAGGTTGTTGTTATGGGCGGCAGTGGGTTGTGGGTAGGGTGTTGTTTCTGCATTCTTATTCCTCTGGTGAGTTTAGCTCCTGAGGTTGCGGAGTAGTCTGCTCTTCGAATTCCTTCATTTGATTGAGCCTTGGGTTCATTCAGTGATGTGAATTAGGTGGGTCTTTTGTTCCTTCTCTTTTCTTTGTCTACTCCTGCTTTGATTTTTTATTGGCAGGGGGTTAAATGTTGGAGGTAGCTGCGGTTTCGGATTTTTTGTTTAGTTGGTTTTTTGGTTATCGTGTAGGTAGTGGTTTTTTTGTACCTGCTTGTTCCTTTGGGTGAGGGGTTCTTCGGGTCATATTTGTGCCTTCGGCCTTCATTTTTGTGAGGTTTTGCCTCAGGTAGGTTTCTCTCAAGCTTTTCTTCTCTGAGGATTTCAACTGTTTTTGGGGTTTTCTTTACGAGCTCCGTATTGGGAGGCTTGGGGCGTAGGCACCTTCTCTGTTTATTTAAATTTCATGATATCCCTACTGGGGTTCGTGGAGCCTGGGGTTCTTTTTGGTGGAGGTGACCAGTTGGGGGTGTTAGTTCAAATCCCTATAGCTGAGGCGAGGTTAGAGACTGACTTGTTCCTTACCTTTATGAGAGAGAATTGGTTTGCTTTTCTTTTGATTTTGAGAGAAGGTGCTAACTTTTTTTGGTTGCTCGTTAGGGGCCGTGTTGTTGTTGGTTTATTTGATACTTTTGGAGAATCTATGGGGCTCGTGGAATTAGGGCTATATTTGGGGCTTTGGCTAGTATGGAGTTTTATTTGATGAGGGTTTCTTGCTCTTGAGAAGTTGCTTCTCGTTGGTTGTATGTGAGTCCCTTTTTTTTTCTTTAGGTGTCCTCTTGTATGAGGAGACATATTCGTCCTATTTTGGTACTAGGAGTTTTGGTGGATAAGTTCATGTTTATTTTGCGGTCATTGAAGGAAAGGAGTTACGGTGTTTGGCTTCTATTCGGTGGCCACCATCTGCGATGGAGTTGTTGGGGAGTTGGATATGCGATTTGTCATTTTGTTTTGTCTGAGGGGTTTTCGATTCAGGTTGGCTATTTTGTTGTAGTTAATTATGTTGCTATTCGGAGGGAACTTTCTCTTAGGGTGGCCGTAGGTTCCTATCACTTTTTGTTTGTCGTGAATTAGTTCCTTGTTTTATTGGGTTGCTCCTATTTGTTTTTCTCCTTGGCTGTTTCGATCCAGGAGGTTGGGGGTACTGAAAGCTAGTTGGGTCCGTTGTTTAATAAAGGGCGATCTTCTGGTTCTGATATTGCGGGTTCAATTATATCTCGATTACTCCAACGTAGGTTTCTGTTTGTTGTTCATTGTTCGTTATCTGTATCAGGTTTAGGCTCTGTTGTTTTCGTGTTTGGAAGAGAATAGGTTGCTATTCTTGGTTTGAGATTATATTTGGTGGGTGGGAGGGGTTTTAGGTGTAGAGAAGATTCATTTGTCTTTTTAGGTGAGTTGATATTTGGAGTAAGATTGAGTTGATGCAGTTATTTCAGATGGTGATACTAATTCTTCTGGAGATGTTTTATTTCTATATGTTGTGGGATGGAAGGCGGGCATTCTACTTCCATATGGGGATCAGACTTCTACTATGATTCATATGAATTTAAAGTTATGAAATAGGTGATGGGGGAATTTGTTTTGGGTTATTTGGGCAGTTCCATTAATTGGTGGGATTGATAAAGATTTCTTGAGGGGATTTTTAGAAATTTATACGTGATAATTTCACTAGATTAGGAATGCGTTATTTAGGGGTAGACTTGGGTGTTGGATAGGGTTTGTCCTTTCGGTTTTCTTTTGATCTTTTTTTTTTGGTTACGATTTTGGCTGACTTTAATTTTATAGGTGGGAGCTGTTTGGGTGCGGGATATGTCCGGGTTTTATGATGGGAGCGCTAGGTTCTGAGGATGTAATTTTTTTTGGGCAAGTTTTTCTTTTGTCACTCTTTCTTATGATCTGGGGTTATTTATGTGGCGTTGAAACGTTTGGAGATGTCTTGTTAAGATTGCCAGGATAGTTGATGCCTCTTCTTCGTGCTGTTTCTGATTTGATTTCGGCTTGCTTTTGTAGTAGATAAGGTAAAGTGGTTGGCGGGATGTTTGGGGTGTGGATTCATTAGTTGTCGGGATACCATTTTAGCTAGATTATTGACTTGTCATCATAGTGAAGTAGTTGGGTTCTTCTGCTGTCACCTGTTGGGGGTTTTTCTAAATTGTTTCTTGGTGGGAAAGTTTGTTTGTGGATTCTTTATTTTCCTTGATTTGGGATTTTGTTTAATATTTAGTGTTTGTTGTTTATTATAGATTGTTGTTAAAGGTGGCACTGCGTTTTTGGCTTATTGTTTCTCTTTTCTGATTATTGGTGATATTTTTGGAAATTTTTTGTTTATTATTTTTGCTCGTTCGTTTCTTCTGTCCTTAGGATTTATCCTGTTTTTACTTTTTTGTTGTTCGTTGTTGGCATTGGCTACTATAATCCGTATATATTGTATGCCTGTATTGGCATTAAAGTAGGATAAAGATTTTTCTTCATCAAGCTCATACACCTCCATGGACTATTGCTTGTTTCCTTTTGGCTGGATTGATTTCCTTGGGGTTTTACGGAGAGGAGTTTGGTTTGGTTTGAGGTTTTGGGGGGAGTTCGCTTTTTCAACCTTACTGTTTGGTAAGAAAAGGGTCATTACATATTTTAGTGGTTAGTTGTTCTCTTTAATTCCTCTGCTTCTGAGGGGACTCCTGCCTCTTTTTCTTGATTGGTTGTTGTCTTTTGTTATATCTGCTCTTTTGGTTCTTGCAGGATTTTTTTGAGGTACTTCCTACTTCTCCTGATAATTTTATCTGCCTTTCTGTTGCTAGGTTTGGGGACTGTTACTTGTTCTCAGGAGAATTTCTGGTTCTTGATTGGCTTCTATGCTTGATTTTAATGTTATGGATTGGGCCTACGATTTCGGTTCTATAAGTTCCTATACTTCTGGCTTCGGAGGATAAGGTACTTCAACCGATCCTTTCATTTATGCGCTTTATGGCAACTTGAATATTGCTTAGATTTACCCCCCTACAGTGACTCCTTAGTGGCTTTCGCCTGTGCTGATTGCTCTGATTGGATTTTTCGGTTGATTTTTCTGTTGCTGTTAGTTGACGGGGGGATTATCATGTTATGCTTGGCACATGTAGGCCCGCCTCTTGGGGATGACTTGGTGATTTACCTTGGGTGATTCACTTTGGAGATTATAAGTACCTGATACTTTTCTAGGGGGCCAGTATCTGTCTGTGCTTCTGTTGTGATCTTCCCCGTTGGGGGGTTTTTTAGCGGGGTTAGACGGTTATTTGGGTGGTCCTGTAACCTATGGAGAGTTGTAATCGCCTTGTTCTGTTTTCCGCTGGTCATTGATTTACCCATTCGGGTGTTTCGTGTTGCCTTGTGTGGAGATTGGCTGCGCTGAAATTTTCAGAGGTTCTTACTGAAGTAGGTTTTGGTTGGTTGATTTTTCCTTTCCTGTCAGGTGTAATTCGGTCAATTTCGTTGGCTGTGGTGGTTGTTGTCCTCCATTATTCCCCTCGCACTTGGGGGCAGTCCAGTAGGGACTGCTTCGCCATGCCTTCCCCCTCCTGATGTCTCGTTGTGGGTATCTAGGGGGGTTTTTATGTTGTTGTTCTGACTTTCTTCTGTTTGTTTAGGGTTTCTTTCTGGAGAATATTGGGATTTCTTGGTGGGCCTCAGTTAAGTACTTCATCCATCTGTATTCCTCCTGTTGCTTCTTGTATATGTGGTCCTCTTGTAATTTACTATTTGTTCTTTTCTTGTTTCTGGTACTACTAATAAAGGGACGGTAGTGTTTATAATTATTAATGTACTCTTAACCCGATGTTATTTCCCCTTTCTTTATGAGCGTTAATTGGCGCCGGAGATTGACTGACGTAGATATTCTTTTACATAAAGGTCAAATTCGGCTAATAAGATTTGACTTAGAATTTAATGTTTGACCATTTGGTATTACATATTTGTAAGATTCTTACATTTGTCCAATTGGCCATGAGAGTTGGTGAGTCGGGTTAGATTTTTACAGATTTTTAATTCTTGGAGAGTCTCATACTTGACACGTGTAATATTATAACGAATAACTTCTGCATACTAGGTTCTGGGGCTTCTTGTTTTCGGATTCTACTTAAATTATGTGTTGTCGCTAAATATGAAAATACCCGATACGCATTATAGATAATACATCACTTTTTCTCTCTCTTAATTGGTAATTTATTAGGTTTGAATAAGTTACTTGGCTCCGTATTACTCATTTGTCATTATTTACCTGTTCCCCCTGGTTGTGGATTAGTGTACACCTTTGTTATTTTCTGGGTAGGTTACTAAGGTTAAGACTTCAATTATTATTACCTTTGCTGGATTCCTTCGTATACATCATAATCCTTAACCAGTTTATTTATTCTTCCGTATTCTTGGTTTTCATTATATTTAATAGTATGTTATATTATACGTACTTTGGCTACTTGGTAGTTGTATATTTTTCTTAATCAGACACGCTTGTGAGGAGTATAAATTTCCCTGGTTATCGCTCTTTAAGCTTCGTTATTTGTACTATAATATCGAGAATATTCCATTTGGATATCATTTTCCTTTAGGTTTCTTGTATTGTTCGTCTAATCCTTAATACTATATAGTTTAATTCATAGTTTTCCTGATCATTGTTATTATAACTTGGAGTTCCCACCTCTGTAGGACTTAATTCCCTCGGACAGCCTGCCGTTTTGATTCTTGCTCGAATTAATAATCAGTCCTTAAGATCACAAATAATATAACATATCCTCAGTTGTTTCTTATAGAGGTAATAATCATTCTTTTGCTGTTAAATTGCATTCATGGATATCTAGCAGTTATGGAATAAATATATTTATCAGAAGCCCTTAATATAGTATAAGATTAGGCAAAAGGATTATACAGACTAGTTAACATATAAGGTGAAGTGACTTCTGTACACAGGCTGTAAAAACTATTTAACTATTAGAACCTTTATCCTTACGTTGTGCTCTATTGCTTCTGTTTAATTATATTTTGAAAACGTAACATATTCAATAAAAAACCTACAATTTCCCCAGTATAGAGTTAGTTGCTCTGCCTGTTCATGCAGTAATCCTCAATATATGAACATTCTTTTAGCAGTATGTTTTATCTATTTCAGAGACCTCGTAATTACTACGGTATTATTTACTTAATTTTATCAGTCTCCACACAATCCTATCTAGGGAATATTTAATATTAATATTTCCTGTAGATATCTGTATAAATAACATATGGACTCCTCACATCAGTTAGCATTATTATGCTTCCTTCAATATATGAATCATGAGAAAGCTGAAGTTTTATTCACTATAAGGTTAACGCAAGAAGGTTATATATAAGAAGGCTCACATGCTTGAGTCCATTACTAGTGGATAAATATACATAGGGAGTAAAGGAGTTTCTTATAGATTCCCTAATAATCTATAAGACTTGTCGTAGAAACCCCCTTGTTCAGGGGTCCCCTTTGATTATAGATTAGTGTGACATTGGTAAAGTCATTAATCTAACTACCTGACCTTCCTTAGTTTGCTTTAGGTGGTTCATACACTCCTTACTGGAGAATTAAGCGAGAGGAGGATACGACAGTGATAATATTCTTTCTTTTATCTAAGAATTTCATAAGTTTATTAGATAATGAGCTACATTTGGTTTGTATCATATTTAATCTCATGACGATAAAGTAATGCTTTGATTATTGTATCATATAATCCCGTTCTGTTGGCGTCCAAATTTCTCTATCATTGACCTTATAAATAGATTTTGTCACAATATAAGAGATATAACAATATAAACACTTATACACAACTAATTATATTATTTATAATGACGCCATTCCTCAATACGGATTCGGTTATAACAAATATATTAGGTTTGTGCTGTTCACAGTTTAAAAGGAGGATATATAATTCTAGATATGGCCACCTTGGACTTCAGTACTTGAAATATTACCAGAAATAGATAAGTGAACAAAAGAATAATTGGGAACAATGCAAATTATGACTATACCCAAAATAGTATGCACTTCCTCTATAATATGAGTCCTTGCTATGAAATGAATTGTAAAGAAACAAAGAGGCAACGATTAACATACTCATTAGAAGAGTGTTAAAAGTTTAAATCACGGAAACACAGGTAGTGTAGCGATGAAATAGGAGAATAATCATTCTCTAACATGTGATTAAAATAAGTAAGAGACCTATATGTGTTCATAAGATTCTTACACTGTTTTCCTAGCTTAATCCATAAATACGTGACTTATTAAAGATAGGATATATTTTTTATGATTATAAATTTTGGATAGAGAAAAATACCTTCAATACATTAATTACATCCTAGACGGGTCAATCTTTGAAGGCCTAAATCGTGTAATAATGACGACATATGAGCACGGCCGGCGTTGACGGTAATTTCGAAGAATGGATAAATTGGGGATATTGCACCCTGCTACGCCGACAACTAAATATTCTCCTTCCTGCAGTGTCATAGATATATATAGTATGGCATTGAAGATGAGCACACCATAACGGAGGATATCATGGGGGCGAAAGCTTAGAATACACCTGTCATCTACTGTCAAGTATAAAATAAGATAAAACCGATGAGGCATAAGACAGGACGTTTCTTGGATACCTGTTAAAAATGCGCACAAATATGGAAGCCGAGTCAACTTATCCCTTATCCTTAAATTCTGGTGTTCATTGCGATCTCACTAGTTGCATATTCTATCCTTTAAGAATATCTGTACGCTGCGGCAAGGGAACAATAAATTTGGAATTATGGGGAAGACAGCATACTTGCAGATATATTTCAGTAGATGCCTAGTCCATCTTGATGAAAACTTTTAATTTAAAGTAATATAGTCGTCACTGGCGAATAAATTCAGTCAAATGTGAATATCATTTGCCAATAATTCCTTAGAAGAACATAGAATCAGGTAGCATTAGAATTCCCCCCCTTGTCCTAAATGTAGCGTTCTTCTTGCAGATGCTTTATTGTTTCTACGCACCTATTCGCTGGTGCTCTTAGAGCTTATCTGTAGGATCTGCATGTTCGCATGTTTCTGTACAACCCCTTTTTCCTGTTTTACACTTTTTTCTTTATGTTCCATTTTATGTAGGAATATTTGTTAATTTATTCTTCTTGCATTCTGAGTTTAACCCGTCTCTGTTAAAATTATATATAACTTTGTTCCTGTTCCGCATTTTTCTTTAACAAAATGGGTTACGGGCGATTGGTAAACCATGAACCGTCGAATTATGTATAAGACTCTGCCGCAACTTAGCCACACATTACATGAGTGAAAGCGCGGATGATTGAATGGACTCATTTTTAATGAATCTCCCTACTGCCAAAATTGTGCTATATATAAAAAGGTGGAGCATTTTTCAAACTTAACAAATTATTTTCATAACGTGTTCGCCTATAAGCACCAAAGGAATAGAAAAAAGTAGAATCAAAGTCCTATGAGTAATGCGATCCAAAGAATTGGAATCCTTATATTGGAAATCAGGGAAGCACTTAATATACAGGAAACGACACAGCTTCCTTGTCACCCCTCTAACCACTAGTGACCCAGGCAGTCAACATAGATATTTTATGATTACAATTCTAGATACAACAAAAAGGGACACTTTTACACTAACCGTAGAGACACCGAATGTCGTAACTGTTCCAGAATCTACATCAGAAAGTGTGTTATATCTTTACAAAAACAAAATAGGTTTTAAGGAAGCTTCTAAAACTTCAAAGAAGAAATAAATCTATTTTAAAAAATTATATATTTCCATGTATAAAATCACAGATGGAATCACTGGATATTACATCCTAGGGTAACAAATAAAATTGTAGAGTGTGTAATTCTAGCCATAACGCTCAATACAAGAAGAAAAAAATTTAGAAAACCAATTAATATATGTAAGAAATTTCGTACTTATATATCTTTCTCGCTAACTGCGAATAATGGCGTGTATTCTGAGACAGGAAAGTTGGTAATCAACTCCTTTCTTATTTGATGCGGTATTGGGCCCTGGGAACATCCCACCTCATATGTTACTGTAAGTGTCCTCTGTCGTGTTCACCTCGCTTTCTTGCGGGTTCACTTGTTCTGTGTTAACATTGCTTTAGGTACTCTTAGTTGTTAGGTTATTTTTGTTCTTTTTGGTTATCTGGTGCTACTTTCCCTTTGTAAGTTTCCTTTCAGCTTCCTGTTCATGTCTTTTGATACTCTTAAGTCAGTTATATGGTTCCACCTTATATATTTATTTTTCCTCTGAAATGGAGAATTTTGCTCAATGTTGCAGTACCTTCAATGCATAAACTTCATTTTG